GAGGAGGAGGAGAAGGAGGAGGAGGAGGAGGAGGAGGAGGAGGAAGAGGAGGAGGAGGAGGCGGAGGAGGAGGAGGAGGAGGAGGAGGAGGAGGAGGAGGAGGAGGAGGAGAGGGCGGCTCTCCGTGTGGCTCGGGTGAGGCCGTCTCTGGGGGTTCTATTCCCTCGCAAGCGACACTGCTCTCCCCAAATTTCCGCGCGTTCCCCCCAACAAGAATTGGCCGTTCAGAGGGGGAGGGGAACTCGGGGAGCTGATCGGACGCACCTCGAGTTGGGTCCCGAACGTGTTCTCCATTCGAGGGTCCCACTCATCGGAGAAGAAACAACTGCCCAAACAAACTTTCGGCGGTCCGCGTGTTTTTTTCGGATCTGCGCTGGACCCCCTCCCTGGCGCGCGGAGCGCGCCAGGGGCGGCGTTGGAGGCGTCGCCAAGGGGCTCCAGCGCGATCCGAGAAATCCGCGCGGAGCTCCGACAGTTTATGTTTGAGTTTTTCCTTCCTTTGACAAAGTCGGGGGGGCCGGGGTCGCCAATTACCCACGCTACGCGTGGTTTCAATGGGTGCCTTCAGAAAGTCCCGCAAAGTCGAGGACTGGCGTCGCCAAGCACCCCGCCGTTGCGCGCGGCTTTTTTGTTGTGGACGGCAACCGAAACTACTGCAAAGCATAGGGAGCTCCACCGAATGCTTTAGTGGCGGGGTTCGCATGGCGCCGCCACGCCATTCTGGCACACCCCTCACAGGTTTCGTGTCCCCATAGTGAGCTCCACCACCAAAGGCGCCAAGGGCAGTGCTCAGACGTGGGCGTCGCCCCCGTTTCGGTACACCCTTGACGTGCTTCGTGGCCCCATCGGGGGATCCACCTGAGGCCCCAGTGGCAGTGCTCACACGCGGGCGTCACCCCCGTTTTGGTCCACCCTTCACACGTTTCGTGGCCCCATATGGAGCTCCACCGAATACAGTTCTCACAGCTGCGCTACTCACAACTGCATATGGTTGGGTCCTTCGCCAGGATCATTCTATTATTTAATGCGGTTTTGGACTCCGGCACCCGGCAGTTTCCGGGTGCTTCGGGCCATTTCGGGCGGTTCGGGCTTTCGTCCCATTTCGGGCAGTTCGGGCCGATTCGGGCGGTTTCGGGCAGTTTCGGGTCGTTTTGGGGCCGTTTCGGGGCGTTTCCGGGCGTTCCCGGCTGTTTCGGGTTGTTTCGGGCCGTTTTGGGTTCTTTCCAGCAGTTTTTTGTTGTTTCCGGTGATTTCGAGAGCCGTTTCGGGGCGTTACGGTACATTTCGGGCCGTTTCCGGCTGTTTCGGGTGGTTTCGGGTGGTTTCGGATAGTTTCCAGCTGTTTCCGGCAATTTCGCGTCGTTTCCGGCCGTTTCGGGCCGGGGCTTTCCGTCGCCCGGAAGGCTTGTTGGGACTTGCGATCGCCACGGAGCGTTCTGTTTCGGGCTGTTTCGGGCCGTCTCGGGCTGTTTCGGGCCGTTTCGGACGGTTTCGGGTTGTTTCGGGCCGTTTCGGGCCGTTGCCAGCCGTTTCGGACAGTTTCTGGTTGGTTGTTTCGGGGGCCGTTTCCTTCCGGAAGTTTCCGGCCGTGAGTATTTGCGGCAGTTTCGGGGGCCCTCTCTGAGTATTCGTTTCCGGCAGTTTCGGGCCGTTTTTGGCTATTTCGGGTCGTTTCGGGCTGTTTTCTTGCTTTTTCCGTTTCGAACCGTTTCCGGCCGTTTCCAGCCGTTTCCAGCCGTTTCCAGCCGTTTCGAGGCCCGTTTCGGGCCGTTTCGGGCCGTTCCAAGCTTTCCCCAGCGCCGTCAAGGGCCCCCGGCCAGGCGCTTTCCAAGCGCGCCCACGCACTTCCCAGGCGCTGCCGAGCCCTGCGCGCTCCCAGGCGCTACAGGCGCCCCCAGGCGCCTCCAAGCAATCCGCAAGCGTTCCCAGGCGCTCCCAGGTGCTTGGAGCCTTCGCAGGCGCCCGGCCATCCCCAGGAACGAAGAGGGAGCCGCGGGAACATGATCCACCCAGGTTAAAGGGGTCTTCTGTTCGTCGGAGCGCAGCACTGGCGTCGGCCTGAGTGCTACCTGCGGGCTCGACTAGCGCTCGCCCCTCGCCACCGATAGCGTTCGAGGTCGAAAGCGCGACCCAATAGGGTCGCGCGCCAGTTTAGGATCCACTTGCCTCTATTCGAAGCCCGCTGGACGTATCCTACCCACGCATGACCGACTACATACGTAATTCAACGCGTCGAGAACCCCAGAGCGATGCGTCATGCGCAGTACTTGCGCAGCGCCTCAGCCCGATGCAGCGGCGATGCGGAAAGGGATCGAAGGGACCAGCGGGTAGCTCCCCACAGCAGGCTGCAGACGCATCGGCGATGTGCTGCGCAGCTTCGCGCGCTGCTTGGGGGGCTGTGAGACGCTCCACACCCCGCCTCTCTTGCGTCCGCATCCACTTGGGCTCGGGGCGGGCTGCTCGCGCAACCCTGGCGAATCCCTGCTCCCGGGTTCACGCCGCCATGACCTCGCCGGGGCTCCCAGGCGCTCCCGAGCGGTCCCAGGCGCTTCCCAGGCGCTCCGAGGCGATCCCCGGAAGGCTTCGCTGGGAGTTGCGAGATCGCCACGGAACGTCCAGGGTCGCTGAGAAAAATCCCGGGCCTTGGGCGGCGGCCCCAGAGGTGGCCAGGCGCTCCCAGGAATTTGACGATCGTAGGGTGGTATCGTAAGGGAGGTGGGCGCGACTCAGCTGTAATTTACGAGGGATCGTTTCTCGGGAACACGAATCTCACTTGTTTTTATGTGTCCCCCGGCAAGGCTCATACCTTGAATCATACTTGTGGGCTCGACTAGCGCTCGCCCCTCGCCGCCGATAGCACTCGAGGTCGACAGCGCGACCCAGCGGGGTCGCGCGTCAGTTTAGGGTTTCAGGGGGGGGGGGGGGGGCAAGGGGATGTGTGGGTAGTTTCTGGGCGGCTAAAGGGGGCCCGTGGGGGGGGGGTGGGGAGCTTCGCGGGCTGGGAAAAAGGGGGGTGGTAGCTTCCAGCAAGGGCGCCAAAGGGGGGGGGGTAGCGAAGCCCCACCCCTCCTTTCCGGGAAGGGGGGGATGGGGGGTAGTTTCCGGGAGGGAAAAGGAGGGGAGGGGGGTATAGTTTCCAGGGCCGCAACAAAAAACGGGGAGGGGGCGGGGGGCTTCCGACAAGGGGGCCTAGAGGGGGGGGTAGCTGAAGCCAAGCCCCCCCCCTTGCTCGGTCGGTGTGGGCGCGCTGTCTCTATGATAAGCTCGGGAGCCCCTGGGCGGCAAGGACCACATTGCGGGTGAGTCAGTGGGAATTCGGAGTCGCCGCACATTTTTGGGATTCGGGTCCTTATCCGAGGACGTCTCGGGCAACCGGGGCCTCCGGGGTCCCAAAACCGAGCGGTGACCGACCGCGCGGTGCGGTCTCTCAGGATTTCGAGGTCACCACGCGGTCCGTCACCACACGGCTTTGGAACCACCCAGAAGCGTCCGCTGCGCTGCGGCGAAAGCCGCGTTTTGAGAACGACCCGCGCTGCATCTTGTACACCCGCGGCGCGAGAACAATATCTTGACGTGCGGGAGTCTCGAGCGCTCACGCGAACCGCTCGACCCGCCCTGCCGCCACATCTGGTGGTTCGATGAGGATGAACCTTTCGTAGGGAATGCAGACTGAGGAGCGCGAGGGGTGGGAGAGGAGTGCAATGACAAGGACGAGTCGACGGAGGAGGCGGCGGCGGAGGAGGATGAGGAACCCAAAGTGCCCCCAAACGACGCTACCAGACATCCGAAAGGCGCGAAACGGCCCAAGCGGCAGAGAACAGCGGCAAACGGCAAGCGGCAGCAATCTGCAGCATGTAGCACCCATGAGCAGCAAGCAGGTCGAGAAGCAAGTGGTTCAGGCAGGAGTGCTTCCTCGTTGAGTCCGACATGGATTTTGCCAAAAGTTTTGATTCTGGCTGGGAATGCACATCCAGTGAGTGCATTTGACTTTGGACCGTGGCCCTGGGAGCGAGGATCCATCGCATATTGCGGTTGATTGCAGCCTCAGTAGCATCGATCCATATGACGGGATGCGCGACGCGATTCTCGTTTGGACTTAGGGAGAAGGGCGCCCAGATCTCCGAGCCAACGGAATTCCAGTGTGCTTCTGAACTCGCCCATCTCGGCGTCAAGACGGCCAGCTCAAGAGGGTTTTGTCGGTCCACTCGAAGCTGCAGCCGCACTGTGAGAGGGCCGTAGGAGGGGTATCTCTCCATTCTGTGCTGAAGCCTCCATTGGGTACGGGGGGGGCGTTGGTGAAGGAAGGCGCCCAGGATGCTGCAGACCCTGGAGGATTCCTTATCTGATGAGGACGGCGGTGATATCCATGGCCAAGCCTCGATTGGAGTTCCACCGGCCTCCAGACCCAGGATGCCTTATCTAAGGGTTCCTTGTCCAATGCCCCCACCGTATCAGTCGGCTCACTTGTGGTTCGCGCACCGGGGATGTGGGGGCAGGACGGGGAGGTCTGGCGTAAGAAGGTCGGGGGGCCCCGAATGATCAGACCGAGCCTCCGAGTGTTCTACCCTCGATGCGAGGGGCTTTGGGGCTTTGCTGCTGGGTGTCTGTGCGCCCCGGTGGTTACCGAGGTCCAGACCCGATGGCTTGGCATCCTGACTGCGTGACGCTGTCGTGAACTCGGGCCGCCCATAGCCCCTCACTGGGGCGCATCCCTTCAGCACCATGTGTATCTCGTCATCTTGGCGTATTTGGTTGCGGGCGTTCGGCGGGAGGGGGGCGGGGAGAGGAGATACGGTCGCAAACTGTTGGTCAGCGTATCGCTCCGCCGGTTCTGGCCCAAGTTGCGGTGCGACATGCTATCTGCCAGCTTTCCGTCCCGCGGAGCGGAGCGACATGTCATCCTCTCGCAGGGCGCAGTGTACCGCTGGGGCCGCGCGACGCTCTGTCCAAAAGTTCCCGACCCTTCCCGTGCGCACTGGTTCAGTCTTGCCCGTGCCCAGGTCGCGGAGAGCACGCCCCCGTCTACTCTGCCGCCCCAGCCCGAGCAGGGAGAGGCGTCCGGCTCCTCGCCGGCCCAGAGCGGCTCCGGCCAGGCTGGCCACAAGGATCGAGTAGGGGATCGGCTACAGAATGGATTGGCCCCCAAATGAAGTTTTAGGTCGAATCTATGGACGAGCGCTCATCAGTTTCGTATTTCTACCAACGCTCTATGCGTTTTCCATGGACTCGACGAGAAAGGCAGTCTCGGGGTGAAACTCAAGGCTGTGGTCGATCCCGAAGCTCGAAGGAGGAGCTGCAGGCCGAGCCGCAGCAGGCAGACGGCCCCGCCCCCAGAAAGGGGAGAGAGAGAGGGAGAGAGAGAAGGAGGAGGAGGAGGAGGAGGAGGACGGAGAGGAGGAGAAAGAGGAGAAGGAGGACGAGGAGGAGGAGGAGGAGGAGCAGGAGGAGGAGAAGGAGGAGGAGGAGAAGGCGGAGGAGGAGGAGACGGAGGAGGAGGAGGGGAATCGTGCAGCCGTTCCCCGGGCATCGCTCGGGCGTGTGCATATTTTTTTCTCGGCGAGGGCCCTCGAGGAGCATCCCGGATCACCCGGCGGCAGAAGAACGCGCACGGAGCCGAAAGGAGGCACGGGGGGACGGACGTCCGAGCGATGCCAGAGTTCGTGGGAGCTGTCGCGTTCCGTCAGGCCAGGCGCTTCGCGTGCCCCGCCCACGCCAATGCTCGCCCGAAGAGGCGTTGACGTCGCCGAGACGGGGTGGCAATCTTCAGGAACTCGTGAGAGGCTCCCCACCCCCCCACATGTGTGTCTTGCATCTTCTCCTGCGCTCCAGTTCTCGTCCGTTCCCTCGCCGATTGGGCTCAGGTGGGCCGCGTGGCTCACCGAAGTTGACTTCGTCGATTAGTTGTCGGTCCGTCATCATCACCAACGGATCAGTGGTATGGACGCTGGCTTTTTGGAACACTCAGTCCCTATCCACAGCAGGAGGCCAGAGATGGCCAGAACACTGCCCGAGACCAGCCAATTTCGTTACTAAAGCGGCTTATGCCATTCCGCCGACCGCCAGCGGAGTAGAGACGTCCAGGAGCTGGAGTGGCTCGGTTGTTTTTTCTTTCACGCCCAAGAGGGTGGAGGAGCAGGAGGAGTAGCCATTAATGGGAGCCTTCGTGCCACGTTATACACTTTCTTTTTGTCTGCAGGGCCCGCACCCTTTCCGTGCCTCTTCCGCGTCGCTTTCGTCCCCCCGCGGCCGCTGTGCTCTGATGGCGCTGGGCTCACGGAGGACGTTGAGCGTATCCGAACGGAAGCGGAACGGAAGTGGTACAAACGTGGAGCGAAAACAAACGCTTGAGCGTAACACGAAGGCTCCCATTAATGCTTACACATGGGAAAGGGCTTCGCAGGGGTTTGTACCTCAACGCTTCCCTCTCGACTGTTAGCCCAGCGCTCGAAGCCCCGCGTCGGTCAGCAGCTCGAGGTCTACACATGTTTTGGCTGGTAATCTTGTCGCGCCAGGCCATAGGTTTCAAGATGACGCGAAAGGTTGCCGGGCTTTCGTGAGGGGATCGTGGGGCTTGTCGACGCCCTTCTTCGCAACGCCCCACATGCTTGGCCTATCCGCCGGTTCTGGCCCACCGCGCTTCTGCCCGATGCGCCAACCACTTCCCTGTCCCCGAGCGTCAACGCTCCTTGCTTTTCGTAGCCTCCCGCCCCGCGGAGCGGAGCGACACGCCATCCGCTCGCACGGCCGTAGCGTGCCGCCAGGGCCGCCGCCGCGACACGCTGAGCAACAGTTCGTGACAGCTGAGGGTCGCTGGAGGATCTTTGGATTTCCGAGGTCCCCGTTGCCTCATGAGCTGGCAACCAGCACCTATACTTTGGCGACCACGAGTTTTTTCGGCGTGGAATTCCGGGGGTGGGGGTCCGACAACTCGCACCTAGGCCCATGCCTGTAGCGCCTCATCGCCTTGCCCTCCCCCATTCCCTCTCCCTGTGTGTGGGGCCAGAGCCGCGACTGTCGTGCTTTTTGCCTCGGCGTCGCGTTGGCCCCACCGCCATGTTCCCGTGCAGACCCCGCTCGAAACGAGGTGCCGCCCCTGGGTTTCTCGCGTTAGGGGCCTGCGTGGTACAGTGGAGACCCATGCCAAGAAACAACCTGCTCGCCTCCAGGGTGCCCTGGGCTTCTTCGGTTTCGATGGCTTTGTAAAAATCAATGGACGTCCAGGGGTCTCAGGCTTGGGTTTTTTGTGGAAGGTTTTTTGTAGTCGAGCTCCTGTTGTAACTCGAAGGACCTGTTGACTATTCATGCGAACGGCACAGCGCGTAAACGGGTACGCTTTCATGCGCCGCACGGGGCACGGGGGCGGAGGGACCTGCTCATCCAAACCTGTGGGAAGGCTCTCCCCAAAGGTCTGAGTGCGTGCTGCTCTGTCCTGCGCTCCAGGGCTACACCCGGGCGTGGTTCCCCCCCCGCCTCCCGCCGCAGACGGCCTCCCCCCCCCTCCCCTCTGCAAGCAGCGACACTCCCGCTCGATACTTCCTTTGCCTTCATTCAATACTCCCAGAGGCCCTGGGGAAACCAAGAGGTACCGATACCGCTTCTTCCTGGAACTCTCCCAGGGTGCGTTCTGACCCGGATTTCGAGGCGAATGCAGCGGTGGCGACGAGGGCCATCCAGGAGGCCGAGAAAGGGCCAAACGAGGGAAGGGTAGCGGTATCCTGCTTGCTTGGCGGGCCCGCTCCTCCTCGCTCCTCCTTCCGCTCCCCGCGCCCAAGAAGCGGCCCGTTGCGCCCTTCGGCCGCCTGGAACGTGCTTGGGGGCCGTGGGGGCTCCGGCCGAATTCCAATCTGCGTGGTTGAATGGCGCTGCCCTGGCTGGGAAGGCCCCAGAGCAAGCGAAACCAAAACAGAACGAGGTCCAGGAGTCGGAGCAGCCCTGCTCGCCACAATCTCGGCAGTCTGTCACTACCCACCAACCCACCCCAACCCAACCCGAAGGCCCCGATTTGCCATCCATTTCCAGTGGGGGGGGGTCGGGGAACATTGAAAAAACACGTGTTGAACCCATAGACCCCCCCAACCCGAAATTCGGGTCTTCGGGTTGGGTTGGGGTGGTCTGGTAGGCAGTCAGTCTGGACTCCTGCGGCGGGCGGGTCGCCCCTCCCCCAGGGGGGGGGGGGCGGCTGCTCCCAGGGCTCGAGGCGGCTCGAAGCTTCTGCCGACGAGGCCGGGGCAGGGCCGGGGGCAGGGCCTGCCCCAGCCTCGAAGCGGCAGAAGAGTGTGCTGTCCTTGCATCATCTGCATCGCTCCGCAGGCTCCCCCCCTCCTCCTCCTCCTCCTCCTCCTCCTCCTCCTCCTCCTCCTCCTCCTCGTCCTCCTCCTCCTCCTCCTCCTCCTCCTCCTCGTCCTCCTCCTCCTCCTCCTCCTGCTCCTCCTCCTCCTGCTCCTCCTCCTGCTCCTCCCCCCCTCGTCGGCAGAAGAGTGTGCTGTTCTTGCATCATTTGCACCGCTCCGCAGGCTCCTTCTTCGTCGACAGACGCGCCGTTGCCGAGCCCACGCCTGCCAGGGGCTCGGTCTGCCACGGCAGGGCCGCTCGGCTCCGGCCGCCCGGCCGCCCGATCGCTCGTCGGCTGCAGTCTGGGCCAAGTCCCCAAGCTTCCGACGATCATAGCTGCTCTGATACGCCCGTGTTGAACCCAACACGTGCCGTGTTCAAAACATCCGTGTTAACACGCTGCGTGTTGGCTCGACACGTGCTGGCCCAGGTATTTGTAAACGTATCGCGCCAGACCTTCGTTTTCAGTCTATGTGTTGAGCTCCGTGCCAACACGCTGCGTGTTGCGTGTTGCGTATCGGGGCAGCTGAGCCAATGATATGGTTCTTGCAATCCCGCAGTTTTTCCTAGATTTCAGCTTCCGGGGCCCGTCGTCGGGCCCCGGGGCCGTCAGCGATGGGTCCAGGGCGGCAGACCGCCGCCAGGGAAGCAAGGGATCTCGGTGTCACCCTGACATACTAATACTGCGTGTGCGTCGCCCCCCCCAGGGGCGACGCGCGCACCGAGAAATCTTATAGTATATGCGTCGTGGCGGGCGCTTTCTGGCCACACCCCTCGGGAGATGACATAATGCAAGATGGGTATGCTAAATGTTCGTGTCGGACGCGCGCCTCCAAGGAGGACATATAGTATTAGCATGTCTCTGTGAGTCCCAGGATCGATAGCTCCCGGGCCGCGGGCTGTTCTCGTCGACGCGGCGGACCCGCCCTGGGAAACAGGTCAGGATCTCGAGGGGAGAAGCGCGCCGGCCACGACCGAGCTGTCGCTGGATCTCGTGGACGCCGATCTTGGTCATGGTCCATGCTGGCCGCTGCCGATTTGCGAGGATGATCCACCAATCGACGGTGTCCAAGATGGTCGGTGGCCAGGATCGGCACCGACGTGTCCGCGCTCCGTCTCGGGGGCGGGAGAGCCGTGCGGCTGCCCGGCCCGGCCCCGCTCCGCGCAGGATCTGCCCCTCCTCGGCAGCGGCGCCGCGGTCTCCACAGGCCCTCCCCTGACATCCTGTGCGTGGGGGCCTGCAGTCAAGACGCTGAAACCAGGAGCAGTTTGGCTCCGGAAGGGGCTCGATGTTCCTTAGCGTCCTCCAGTGCTGTTCCTCTTGCCCTCCTGGGGCACGGAGGCGCTTACAGGGCCAAGAAGGGGCTTCGTTCCTCATTTAGCGTTCTTTCTTTCAGCAGCCCGACTGTAGGGTTTAAGGTTGGTGCCACAGAGCCAATCAATTAAAAAACCGTTCTGGTTTCCCGAGGGCTCGCGCGCTACACTCGGACAAGACCCGCCGGCCCATCGGGTGTTGGGGCCCGGCCCCTGTTTGTTTGTGTTTTGTGATTTTCACATGTGCACGTTGGAGCCAGCTGCGGGGCCGAGGAGGCCCAGCACCTGATTCTGGTCAGCAGAAATTGAAGAAGGGGGCCTTTCTTGTCTTTTTGGGATCGCCTGGGGGCTTCTCGTCGCCACGGCTGGACGCGGCTCGAACAACTGGTGTGTTTGGACCCCAGGGGGGGTTTGGGGACCGACGTTGAGTGGATTTGGCACTGTCCGCCTTCTTGACCGGTGTTCCTCTAGGATTATCCAGCTCAGACCCCCCCGCTGCCTCCAATGTGCACGGGCCATGGTCACCTCACCACCCGTTACGGTAGCAATGCCCATTGTCGGATACATGTGTGTTTACGCCAGTCTGTAATCACATGTGGTATGCGTATTTAATTACATTTGATCGAAAACATGGGGTGTATGTATGTATGTATATATATATATATGTTTATGTATACATATATTTATAAACAGATATCCATCTATACATGAATATATGTCTAAACATGTCGGTGTGTATGTCCAATGTGTGCTGTTTTGGAGGGTCGGATTGCAGTGACATGGGGGGCTCGACTAAGGTCGGACATCAGTCGACTACAGGCGACACCAAGGCCCTCATCTCCGCTTAAGGATTGCCGCGAGAGCGATTTACTTCCAATCTACCCTCCACCGTACAGATAGGAACAACACCATCGCACACCGTATTGGCCTATCAGTGGATCCCCATGCAACCAGGCATCGATTATCCAGTTGAGTTCGACGACGTTATGCAATCTTCTTTCCCCACCTCCTTCTGAAGACGAGGGTGTCGGTCAGAAAGACGATGTTCGATTTCCAGCAATCCTCATGTACGCCAGATGCGATTTGGCAGCGACCCATCTGAGGACCACGTAGTTGTAGACTTGATTCTGTAGTGAGCTCGGGGTGGTTACCTTGCCGTGATGCCATCAGGAGCGACTGCCGTCGGATGACGTGAGCGAGGTGGGTATCTCCCGGGACTTTGGCATGGCTGACGTGAGCGAGCTGGCCGTATCCAAGGAGCTTCCGATAGGCTTCAGAAGAGCATACATTAGGGCGTGAGACGTGTACACAGAACACATTACCTTATTCTTGCACTCGCTCTTCGCCGAAGAAGCAAATCGGCATAAACATGAGCTTTTTGAGGTCCTCGCGGATTCCTTGGATCGTCGCCGGGCCTGCGTCCCTGGCGCGCGTGCCCTGGGCGGCGCCGGAGGCGTCGCCAGGAAGTCCAGTGCCGATCCAACAAATCCGTGTAAGCTTCAGGCTTTTCATGCCCATGCCGACGTTTACTACGTATTCTATTCCGAGATCCAAGGGCTTTCCTCTTTCCACGGTAGGCGCCGCTTCGAAACGCTAGTTCAGGATCAGGGGCCAATTTGACACGACACTGATTGGGAGTTCTTGACGCTTCGATGCGTAGGCGAGTTGTCGTGAGAAGAGATGAGAAGGAGCACTAATGAGGCAGAGATGAGGGGACAGCTGTCCAACTCATGGGGTAATCAGTCCAAGCAGCCACCACCGACAATCCCCGACTTGGGGATCTCTGGGAGCCTCTCGCAGCCCTCTTTGGGCTCTCTCTGGACCCTTTTTGGAGCACTGGCCGTTCTCTTGGGGCTCTCTTGGTGACCTGCTGGCGCCTGTCAGGCCTCAGAGGACCATCGGCGGAGGCCGAAGAGGCGAGGGGCCGAGAAGTCGCCCGACCAGCCCGCTCGAGCGTGCCGGTCACGGGAGGCGGCGGGTTGGCCCCCGCGCCCCGCCCCCTTCTTCGGCGCCAACTGCTTCCAGAGGAGGAGGAGGAGGAGGAGGAGGAGGAGGAGGAGGAGGAGGAGGAGGAGGGAAGAGGGAGGAGTAGGGGGAACTGGTAAGGCCTTGGTTTGTGAGCTAAGCCGCCGAATTGGTGATGCATAGATCCCCCAACACCAAAGTAAATTGATACCTAGGTCCGCAAACCCAAGCATAGGGAGGTAGAAAATTTAGAGTTACCAGCTGTACGATCAATGCTAACAACTTAGTCGTTGAAGTGATCGCCACATCGTTAGATGATAGGATGAGTGTCAGAAGAGCCTTTCGCCGATACATCTTCTTGCCCTCCCCCCACAGGTTAGAACTCGTCGGGGCGCATCGGGGACTTCGCTTTTCACCCATCTTAAAACTGTCGGCGCACGTTGGGGAAGAGGGTCACGCCCGAACTCTTGGGGCCCAGTGGACTCTCGCGCTAATGGCCTCGATGGGGTCGGCGGATTGAGCTATGATTGTCTCGATCAGTCAAGAAACCGCGCAGCGATGTCAGTGTTTTAGACACACCGTGCAAAAGCGGAGAAGGAGTAGGAGGAGGAGGGATGGGGAGTAGGGCGAGGAGGACGTTAAACCAACTACAGAAGAGAGGAACACTTCACACAATTTGACACATCAGTCCTCGCTTGTATACCTTCCCCTTCCTAATGCAACGTGTTCCTCGGAGTGTTTCGGCCAATCGTGTTCTGCCGCTCCTCCCCGTCCTTCTGCTGGTGACGTCAGAGGACTCGGGGGTGAGACATCGGTGCTGTTTCTCTTCCTGCCAACTTTGCTGCTCTTCATATCGGCGCACCGCAGCCATAGCCATTTTGGCTGATTCCATGGAGGAGCATCACGATGCAATCGACTACGATGACCCATGCCACAGTGATTGTGGCGGCATCGATGGTGATCCACAGCCTGTGATTGATGATGTGTCACCGTCAGCTGCGCCAAGGCGCAAACGAGGCCGCCGACCCAATGCACACGACGAGTTCGGAGGCTTGTGCGTGTTTCTGATATGTGCGGCCGAATCCCTCATCGGCTTCACGGTGACATCCCAAGTGAATGCATTTCAGCCAAGATGCGTGCACGCAATTGCCTTCGGCTTTTGGGAGGCAGTCTGAGCAGATAGGTTTGCTACCGAAATGAATGAACATACGCTGGAGCTGTTCAATGACATGCATCGCCTCGTGAACGAACCAGTCGCGGGGGCCATTATGTACAAGATAACAACTGCATCGACCCTCAGATGGCCACTCAGACTACCATGCGGTTTCGTTGATGTGTGGAGGTGCTGTGCATCCGAGTTGTGCGAGAATACGTTCGACGACACCGACGCTCAACACGAACTTCCATGTCGAACACTTGTTGAGAAATGGGCTCGGACTCAAGGCATGACAATGGTTGGTATTAAAATCGTCACAGTATTCACGTCTCCAGACTACGCTTTTCAAATAAGCAACGCATCTCGGATCCTGAAGATCGTACCTCTCTCTGCAAAGTGCAGGTTTGGGCGGCAGCTACTGCCGAATGGGCCATCTCCCAGAGAAGCTCTGTACTGGAGGTCGTGTTTTTTATCGCAGTGCCCGCCTGAGGTGATTAGACGAGCTGGGCCCTTCAGTGTCGTAGCACAGCCCAGGTCAACAGAACTACTCGGATGCATTCCCGCCCACGTCGTCGTTGCTTTCCTTTCAGCCACTCGGTTTCTCAAGAGCTTGCATTATATTGAACCCGCCAGGAAAGCTTGGGCGAAGATCATATGCGGTCATGACCGGGAGAAATCTCGGAAAGTGTTGCTCCGCACAAGTAAATGCAGTAGAAATGTTGTTCGCCTGGGCAGGATCCGCTTGGTCGCCGTGTGTATGCTATTGACACGTATGCTGATGAGAGACACGCTCGGCACTGCCCACATCTACCTGTTCACAGATGGCAGTCCGCAGTGGAGGGGAGTTGAACTGATGGCATCAACAATGGATTGTATTCGGTCATCGCCATCATCCTGGGAATGCTCGCGCATATTACTTCCTGTGGTCAGAATTGGCAACCGACAATTGAATTTACAGGGCAAGGCATACGCGATCTTGTGGAAGATCATGCTGCTTGTGGGCCCGTCGTTCGAGAGCATCCGCATGTTTTTGACGAGGGTCGTGTCCATCACGACGGACTTCGGGACGGAACGTTTGTTGAGTGCATGCCCTGATGTATTGATCGAATTCTGTGGACACGTGGGCATCAGAGTTCCACGCAATGTATCTCGCCACGAAAGGTTGTTTCCATTTGCAGTTGTGGCTCCAGGATGGATGCACATCGTTGACACCGTTATCAAGCGAGGGTTGAGCAGTCTGGAGTGGTTCCCATCGTTTTTGACTGGTCTGAAAGCTGTTTTGAATTTCTTGAGGTTTTATTCTGCTGACATACAGGTTGCCGTTCGACAGAGGTTCACTGGAGTCGCTCAGCTTCTCGACTCAATTGCTGTCCCCTACTTTGCAGAGTGGAGGTGGGGGACGCTCCACAAGGCATGCAGGGCAACGTCAGTATTGATTGACATAGTACGGCGATCATGGGGCGACTGCACCTTCGTCAAGAAGATTTGGGGCACCACCCTTGTCAGGAGAGTGCAAGCATCGATTCATAACGAAGCGTGGCTTATTCAGTACAGGTTCGTGCGGTGGTTCGCTGGGTGGTTGACGGACTTGCAATCGTGGGGAGGGTCGTGCGTGTGCCATCAGGACGCGTACGAACAAGGCAAGAAGGTCGATTGTCAACGGAAAGGGAGGCTCCTTCCTTTTGCCTGGCAGAAGGCGCGTGATGCACTCGAGGATGGGATGGGCGAGGTCTACGGTTGGTCACTCAGCGACTTCGGCGGCAGCGTGGATCTTCGCAGTAAGTGTCTTGGAGCTGCTGAGTTCGCCAAGGCGCTGGCGTTGCGGAAGCTGAGGTTCCTTGTGCAGTTGCCCTACTTGTTAGCGCGATTGGGCGAACCTGGAGTAGTTCAGAAAGTTCTGGAAGACTTCGACTCCGTACAGCCTGGACGCCATCGTCCCCTCACCATGTATTTTCTTGGTCCCGAGTCGAACCTCAGGGCCCACGTGCTTATGCTACCAGCAGATGGGGGCCCACTTCCAGATGTATTGCGAGGCCCTGTCGATGCGCTCAGAGACATTCCGTTCGACGACCACGTCGCCGAGGGGCCGCGCGCGAGGGCTAAGAGGGTCATGCGCAATTCTCGCTGCACACGGTTTCCGTTCGTTGCTTCAACCCTGCGTTTATTTCAGAATCTGGATGGGCTGGATGATCTCATACATCGAACTGGGTCTTGTTTGCAGCACGTGTGGAACTGCTGGACAGCGATCGTGAACATGAAGAGACCGACAAAGCCAGTTAGACTGAAATCCAAGGCCGTGCATTGCAAGACGTATGAGCTCAACGCGCATCGTTGTTTCGGGTGCAGCGAATTGCGCGGCAAGGATGGCCCCATCGAGATCGGCGGAGTTCGAGGTGAAGTGGAGTTCCCTGTTCGAGAGCATGGGGAGATCGTGCCATACGACAGCGGCGGTGCCGATGACGGTGTTGCCATGACCGACTCGCAGAGGCTACTGCTTGAGTTTCTTCGCAGCACCTCGGCAGTATATGATTTTGTCGCAGTTCCATTCGTTTCGGATGCTGACGGTGAACGTCACTTTAAAGTGTACCAGGTGCTATCAACAAGATGCAAATATATACAGGTCCCAACTGTGACGACACAGCCGAATGATGATTCTACGTGGCTGCTTCTACAGATGGACGCGAGCGACGACGGGAGCGCAGGCGACGCTGGCGGCATTCCTCAGCGACTTGATGTCTTTACGATGGACCCCACAGGGAAGTGCTGCAACGTGTTCGGCATCTTCGGCGACATCGGCAGACGGGGCGACATCAGGAAGTTCACTGTTGGCGAGAACCAGGTCGACGGTTGCCAGGGCCTCCAGGACCCACAGCCTTTGCAGTGGAGGACTTCTGGGGGGAAACGTGTGCAGACTCTGCAGTGACGGATTTTTGGGGCTCGCCTGTCCCCTGTCCTTATCGCCCCCTTCCTCCTTCCCCTCCTTCGCCCCTTCTCGTCCCCCACCTGTTCCCTCTCCCCCTTTCCCTCTCCCTCCACCTTCGCCCCGCTCCTCTCTCTCTCTGCCTTCCACTCTTCCGAATCCGATCGCATCCGATTGTTTGGTTCAGGTTTCGTCTCGACCCGAATCTCGCGATTC